ATTTGAGGAGTTTTGCTATCGAGGGAAGCAGAGATATGGGGGTGACAGCTGGAGGAGGCAATGGGATCAAGTTTTTGTCTTTAGTTGGAAGATTTTATAGCTTGTTTGTTTTCTGATGGGAATGATCTAGTGAAAACGGGGACAATTGCTGGTGTGTCCTTGAGTAGGTGAGAGGGGAAAGGATCTAGTGTGGGAACCCGGGACTAGCCTTAGCCAGTAGCATGGCTGGTTTCTGCAAAGCAGCAGCAGAGGAGGTGGTGATGGGATGGTATAGGGAGGAGGGTGATGTGAAGCTGGGAGCTTGTTGATGTTCTCTTCCAACTGCTCCCTTTTCCCCAGTGAAATAGCCATGCTGCTAGCTGAGAGGGAGGATGGGGAAAGGTTTGAGGAACGCAGAAGTTGTGAAAATAAGGGTAGGAATCATCCAGGAGAGATGAGAGTGCATGGACTTGGGAATGTAGTTGGATTATAAGGTTGCATTAAGGGCCTGCTTAAAATTTGCAGTTGTGAATTTTAAGAGTTAACAGCATAGCTTTACATTTTTTTCCAGCTATGCTTGCTTGCGTAGCAGAGGAACGTGAAGGCAGAGAGTTCAGTTTAACCAGGAATATGTTTTTTCAAGGCAAGTAGGGAAAGGGGTTTAGAACATATGGAAGGGAGTGATGGGCAAGTAAAGAGGTGAGGACATAAGCTTGTGAGGGCCAATAAAACAGTGGTAGGGTCAGTAGATGTAGGTCCCAGTGAGGCTGGAGGATGTGAAGGGGCGTGGAGTGAGTTGGGTAGACTGGTGGTGTTGGTTGGAGAGTGGAGTGCATGATGGAGTTTACAGAAGGGCTGCAGGTGTTGGTAGTGGTGGGTGTGACCATGGGAATAAACGGCTGAGGTGAAAACTCGAGGGGAATGGAGGTCAAAGCATTAGAGACTGGTGTTTGCTAAATATTGAAAACACAGAAATTTTGACAAAGGCAGGTTGGAAAGCAGTAAGAAGAAGGGTCCGTAGGATGAGTACAGCAAGAACAGTAGAGGGTGGGAGAGTCTGATGACATGAGGTTCATATCCTGGATAGGAAGAAGGTAGAGAGAATGTTCTGGGGGCAGACAGGAGTCCTCTTGGCTCAGGGTTACAAGGCGACATGGGAGGGAAAGCACCCATCACTTGAGGGGGCTGTAGAGATAGCCATGTTCTCAGAGAGGGGGCCAGGTTTTCATCAAAGTAAGAAGGTGAAGGAACTGACTGCTCAGAGAAGAGTTTGAAGATAGAGGGGCTTTGCAAATGATAGTGGGTTCCAGAGGATAGAGGGGAGGGATTTCAAGCACTGGGGAATGGTGGAAGGTGGTCTTGGATTTGAGAATTTGTAGAAAGCCATGTGGGGATTAGAGTTCATGCATTGGCTGGTGACCTGGGAGTGTTGGGCTTCTTATGGTGGCAAAAGTAACCAGGGACATAGGGCACACTGGGACAGGCTGTAGGGCACACGGGGGCAGGTCATCTCCACAGCAGAGTGTGGGTATGTGGCTGTCAGGGTAGCAGGTCGGGAGGAAGGAGGCCCCAGATCTCTCCATGTATGGAGCCCACGCACTTCATGTTTCAGGCAATTTGACTCCAGAAGCCTGGAGAACTTTACCTGTCTGCTCTTTTAATTCTTAAAAAAAGGGGGAAAAAGTGTTGACTTGGACATGAGAAGGACGTTACAACCTATGTAGCTGAAAACGTTTTTATTGCCTTTGGCTTTCAACTGCAATGATGTAGGACATTTTGTCTAAAGCCCTGGGAATCCCCCAGCTGAAAAGGATCCTAGATATGTACATTAGAGTGGAGCTCCAGATGTCCATTCTGGAGGGCAGAGATGAATTAGCCAAGTAGAACTTCTGGGGGAAGTATGACGTTTTAGAGACAGTGTTTATCAAATGGGGAAAACAGAAAGGGGAGACTCCATGACAGAGTTCCTGGGCTCAGGTTCAGTGCTCTGTAAAGCAAGCTGCCTTTTTTCTGCTCAATTGCTGTATGTCCTTTATCCCCATCACTGCCCTGCCTCTTCTTCTTTGGATGTTATTTAACTTCTCTGTGCCTTAATTTCCATATCTGTCTAATGGGGATGACCATAGTCCCTGCTTCACAGGAACCTTACAATAATTAAGTGAGATAACACACGTTAAGCATTTAACACAGGGCATGGCACACAAGTACTTTCTAAATATTCTCTGTTATTAAAGGGCCACTAGTAGCTAGCTTCCTGCTTGCCTTCAGCTCTCTTCTTCCTGCCACTTTATGGTTTTCTTGTGTTGCTCTCCTTCTCTTTCATCCCCTTCTGTTCCTCTCCCTGGCCTTGGCTGTCAGTGGTGCCCACACCTAGTTGAACACTCTCTGTGGCCTTCTGAGGTAGAGAACTCTTGGAATAGGAGGAGAAGCAGGCAGGAAAGACACTGTTGATGGGGGAATCTCCTGGCCAGCCCAGCTGAGATCTGTGACTGACATGTCTCCAGAGCTCCAGTGGGAGCTGGGAGGTCTGTTTTGGAGGCCAGGCTTGGCCACTGTGTGATGTGGGGCCTGTTGCCACATGGGGCAGAGCAGGCCATGAGGGTGGGGATCCTGTGAACAGGGAGGGACTGGGCCTAGTCCCCAGGTGAAGGACAACTGCTGATCCTGCTGTTCCTAATGTGCTTCTGTTACTTCTCCACTTGTTACCAGGGTCTCCTTTCCACTGCGCATCTCCACTGTGCACCCCCCTTGCCCCTGCGCATCTCCCTCACACTGCACATGTCCCAGGTGTTAGCATTTTTGTGGGAGGGAAGGAGCAGGGCATGGGGTAGCAGAGTCTACAGACTAAGACTGGAAAGTTAGAGCCAGCCCACCTGGGTTTGAATCTGGGCTGCGTCACCAAATAGTCTTGTGCCCTTGAGTAAGTTCTCTTAACTTCTCTGTGCCTCAGTTTCTCATCTCTAAAATGGAGTTAACGGGAGCAGCAGGTGAATTAATAGGTGAACTGATAGTGAACAAATTGCTTAATGGTTCCTGGCACACAATAGGGACTCTACAAATGTTTGTTCTAGTAAAATCTTTCGAAAATTTAATTTTACAACACTCTCATTTCAGTTTTACCAGTGCCAGAAGTGGGGTAGAGAGGTTAAGTGACTTGCCCAAGGCCATGGAGCTATTAAGCAGCAGAATCAAATCGAGAACAGGGCTTTGACATACTCCAGAGTCTGTGCTTAGGGCCGCAGCACTGACCTGCCTCCCTGGACGTGCAGGTAGGGAGTCTGCTTTCCAGAAGGAGTGTGAGGGAGGGGAAGTCAGGGGGCCCCGTGAGTCCAGGTGGGTAAATAATGCTTGAGTCTGGGAGTTAAGCAGGGGTACTGCCTGGAGACCTGGCTGGGACCAGGAGCTGCCGGCCCTCTGCCCGGTTTTCTGCTCCCTGAGGTGGGCAAGCAGCCTGTGGTCCCAGGCCCCATTTCAGGAATAGCTCTAGTCCCTTAGATACCTGAAGATTTGGCTTAGCAGCCAGAGAGTCGAGCCTTCCCGAAACTTTTGCCTGCTTTCTGTTGGACCACAGTCAAGTCAGTTAATTTATTCATAGTAGGGTGATCCCAAACCACATTGCTCTGAGGGTCCCCCGTGGACCTCTCAGGCCTCCAAAGTTAGCTCCTGCTGGTGGTGCTCACTCACTGTGAAACCCCACGACCCCATTCTGCAGACCCACTGGGAACCTTGTTTCTTTTCCTGGGATTTTACATTTCCTTCTGTGAGTACAAAATAATCATCTGGGTCCGTGGGAAATTTTCCTTCTGCGTGGGTTTTATTTTCAGTAGCCAGAGCCAGGGTCCACAGTACTCCCAGCTCCCATTCTGGGAGCTCTGCCATCTTTTGGTTTCACTCCTTGGCACAAGGCCTTGGGTTCCTGGGCGTGGGGAGCCCAGAACTGGGTCCTCTCATGAGCTCACAGGCTTGGTTCTGTGCTCGCTCATAGGGAGGCAGCTGATCGTTGCACTGGGTATCATTGTTTCCTTGGGCTTCTCCTTGGTGGGGGGCGGTGTGTATCTGTGTGTGTCTGTGTGTGTAGGGCTGTGTAAGCCCTGGAGGCCAGGCCTCTCGCCAGCGGCTGCAGTTCTTTTCCCGGAATTGAGTTAGCTGCCCAGCTGTTTCCCCTCTTTGCCCGCTGCCAAGCGCTGAAGCATGGTCCCCGTGCCAGGTTGAAAGCACACTCCACTTTGGTAATTTAGAGCTTCCATTTTGAGTGAAATGGGAAGCAGGAGTGAATGAATGAGCGTGTTGGTTGGAAGGAGGGTGGGGATACTCTTTTTTGGCAAGCCATGCCAGAATTGGCCCAGCTGCTTAGTCTTTGCCCAAAATTAGGGCTAACCCTGGACTGACCCCAAGTATCCAGTGGAGAAACTCTTTATTCTTGGATCGAGACTTAACCAGACTTGGCAATCAGTACCTTTAAATCTGGAAACTGGGAATAATAAATCCTACCCTGTATGTTCTTCTTGTTCAATAAGACATAAACTTTTAAGTAGTCCACCAGCTACTCAGTAGGAGCAGGAAGTGATGTAAGGCTGTGTTTCTTCAAGTATATTCTGCAGAACACTAAGTGCTTTTTTTTTTTTAAACAAATGCACTGGCTCAACAAGTTTAGGAAATGCCAAATAAACAATGTTAAGCAATCTTCTTACTTGTAGGTCCTTAATCTACGACTAACCTACACGGTGAATTTCCAAGGGAGGAGGAGATAGATTGTATTTAACCTTTCTTAAATTTTTAACCACACTGTCTGAGTGGAGCATTTTTCAATATTATCTCTACAAAATGCACTTTGGAAGACCAGCCTAGGTCATAGGTATAGTCATTTCATTCTTTCTTCTCTAATTGTGAAAGGAGTTGAACTGGTTGAAGTGTGTGGAGTTGCTAAGCTGTGGGTCCTTGAGAGGTCAGGCATTCAACTTGAGAATCTCTTAGAATGAGTGCTTCCTGCTCTGAAACACCTCTCCCTCCTGTCCTTACAGCTCCCCTTTGAATTGGAGATTTACTACATTCAGCATGTTATGCTCTACGTGGTGCCCATCTACCTGCTTTGGAAAGGAGGTAAGGCCAGCAAACCCCATCCCTGTGCCAGCTCCACACCTACCTTCTCTTCTTCTGTTTGGTGGGGGAGTCACAACCTCTTGGGTGTCTTATCAGAAACCTGAGGTGCTCCCTGACTGAGTCTCTGCAGCATGTTTCATGCCAGACACCAGGCAGTGGGAAAATGGGTATGGATGAGGCCTGCAAAGAGCCTGGTGGTTTCTCATCCTTTGTGTGCGTGCGTGAGCTCAGGGCCACTGACAGCCCGTCCCAGGGCTGAGGCCTCAGGCTGTTTGTCCATGGTGGCCTTGGGTTTGCATGGACAGAGTTTACCCACACTCTGTCACTCACTTCTGCTCTTGCCTTCTCCCTGCCTCAGTGTGCAACAGAGGGTAGAGGGACCTTGTGCTTTTGCTCATATCCATCCTCTCTGAACCAGAAAAGATACTGAAAGGGGCAAGATGTCCAGGAACTTGGGATTATGGGATTAAGGAAAAAGGCTGGTGAAGGAGCAGCGACCTTCATGTAAAACAGAGCATGGAAACCTTCATTTGATCAAAGGGAGAGACCACCGACCTGGTCGAGAGGCTGATCTGTTTGTGACCTCACAACAACCCTTAAATAATCCCCTCCTTCTGTTCGGTAGTAGACAAAAGGAAAGGGGAGTTCACTCATTCTACACTAGTTGTAAGACACCCGCCCCCCTTCTTAATGTTCTGACCTTCCCGAAAGGCCCCATGCCTGGAAGTCAACCTCTTTTAGTCTGAGCCACCAGCCTCTCTATCTTGGTTCCTGGGACTTTGCTGGGAGACTAACCTCATCCAGGGCAGCTGGGGTTTCATTTCTATCACATTAAAAATTCCATGAAGCCACATGGACCCTAAAGCCTGTTGGGAGATGGTTTGGAAGTTGTGCTTCCTCTAACTCAGAAATTCTAGCAAATTTTTAAGAACTCCCAGCCCGAGGGAGCCTTAAGGACCCATCAACTGGGGGTCAATGTAGGAGGATGGAAACTTGTTCTCCCTGCTTTCTGTCAATTAGGAGTCTTCTGCCTCTATTCTTTGAGGCTGTTTTTACCTGTGCTGCCACATGGGGGCTCACATTGTCAAAGAGCACTTCTTTTTAATTTGCTCTAAACACACCCTTTTTCCTGACTGAGCTTTAAGAGAAGTCTGACTTTCCATATCCAGGTGACCTATGCCATTTCTCAGGAAGGAGCTTCCTAATAATATGTAAGTCTCAGAGATACAGTCATTCTGAAGGGAACCAGACAGGAAGTTGTCCCAGGCCTCCAGACCCCCACTGCTCATGGTTCCTGAGGTGTGGGATGCAAGTTCTGACCAAATGTGCATGGATATTAGTTAAAACTATTTGTATTCTGAGGCATTATAAAAGTCTGTTGGTTGGCTGAGTCAGAGTGGTCTGATAGCAGCCTTTAGCTTCCTCACCTCTTCAAAAAATCCCATCTGGGAAGCTACACTTTCTAGAAGTGGCTGACTCCACTGCACCCTTCTATTGAATCTATAGCTGCACTGTTTGGGGGAACCAAGCTAAGAAAGGGATTCAAATTTATACATACACACTCTGTTAGATCCAGTTTGTGCATACACACACTGTCCCTGAGTCTTTCCCTTCTCCTCTGGTGCCTGGCCTTGAAAAGAGGCTGTAATAATGGTAACAGTAATAACAACCATAGTATAACCATCAATGCCTACTTTTCATTGAGTGTTTTCTGTGTGCAGGATGCTGTGCTAGGCATGTTTTGTGTAAAACATAAAAGCAATGTATATATCTTTGTTAGAAAATAGTTTATTTTTTTTTTAGCCATAATGCTATTGCACACTTAATAGACTGCAGTTATCAGTTCAGTTCAGTTGCTCAGTCATGTCTGACTCTTTGCAACCCCATGGACTACAGCACACCAGGCCTCCCTGTCCATCACCAACTCCCAGAGTTTACTCAAACTCATGTCTGTTGAGTTGGTGATGCCATCCAACCATCTCATCCTCTGTCGTCCCCTTCTTCTCCCGCCAAAATCTTTCCCATCATCAGTCTTTTCCAGTGTGTCAGTTCTTCACATCAGGTGGCCAAAATATTGGAGTTTCAGCTTCAGCATCAGTCCTTCCAATGAATATTCAGGACTGATTTCCTTTAGGATGGACTGGTTGGATCTCCTTTCAGTCCAAGGGACTCTCAAGAGTCTTCTCCAACACCACAGTTCAAAAGCATCAATTCTTCAGCATTCAGCTTTCTTTATAGTCCAACTCTCACATCCATACATGACTACTGGGAAAACCATAGCTTTGACTAGATGGACGTTTGTTGGCAAAGTAATGTCTCTGCTTTTTAATATGCTGTCTAGGTTGGTCATAGCTTTTCTTCCAAGGAGTAAGCGTCTTTTAATTTCATGGTTGCAGTCACCATCTGCAGTGATTTTGGAGCCCCCCAAAATAAGGTCTATCACTGTTTCCATTGTTTCCCCATCTATTTGCCATGAAGTGATGGGACCAGATGCCATGACCTTAGTTTTCTGAATGTTGAGCTTTAAGCCAACTTTTTCACTCTCTTCTTTCACTTTGAACAAGAGACTCTTTAGTTCTTCTTCAGTATAGTATAAATGTAACCTTGATATGTGCTGAGAAACCAAAAAATTCTTATAACTTGCCTTATGGCAATGGTCTTGAACTGAACCTGCAGTAACTCCAAGTAACAAACATGCCTGTGTTTGTTCAACACCTACTGTGTGCAGAGGATTTGTGCCAGGGAATCAGAGACGAACCAGACAGGCCCAGCCCTTCCGCAAGGAGTGCCTGTCTGAGAGGACAGACACAACTGAGAGTATCAGATTTCTGAAGTCTTTCTACTTTCCCTGCTTTACCATTTCTGGGTTCTTGGGTGCTCTCGGCTTCCTTTCTGGCTCTTTGCTGCCATCTGCTGTTCAGTTGGGGGAAATCATGAGCATTTGGGAAAAACATCTGGATTTCCTGATGTTTCACCTTCCGCTGAGCCTGTTGTAGGCCTTGCAGAGTGACCGTGGAACTGGAGTGAACAGGGGGAAGAGGATTTCCTGAAAACCAAAAAGCTGAGAGTTTGGGGCTTCTCTTCCCTGATAGAAGTCTTGTAATTTTCTAGAAATAACTGGTTCAGAAGTTTTTACCCAAGGCCAGACTAGCTCTCCTCTCCAGTACCCCCCATGCCAAGGAGCCCTGTGTCCCTGAAAGGCAAGGTCCTGCTTAATGGGAATCTCTCTCTCCTCATTGCTACAGCCATTTGGCACCTTCATAGTAAACATGACCTCCCCTGTCCACACTGCTTTTTTCTTCCTCCTTCCTCCAGCCACACTCTTTGTTGCTGTTTCCTTTCCTGTCAGCTCTGAAACTGTGGAACTGCATGCTTTATAACCCCACCCTCAGCTCTTCACAAAACACAGAGTCCTCCCATCTCTTGCCTGAAAGCCTCTAACTGAGGCTGTTGTCTCTGCTCAGCCCCATATGCCACCCATCTCTCCACTGTCTCTTCCAGACCATTATTTTGTCTCTGCCTTATGTGTGGGTACTTTTTTCTTTACCATCCTCTTTACCTCTTTCTTTGATTACCACCACCATTCGAACATCTTGGTCAGTTCCCTTGCATTCCTAGGTACCTTTGGCCCATGGCTCTCTCACTATTTTCAGTACAGCTCTAGCCAGCATCCTGAGAACCTTCCAGTGAGGACTGCTCATCCCACCCCCAACTTCTCAATGTGTGAGCTTGTTAATTGTAGTGACTTCTGCGCCCCCTTCAGGACTTTGCTTTCCCCTAAAACTCTTCTGAGATCATAAGCGTTTATGTCCTTTTCTTTGACCCAAATCTGTGCTTCTTCCAACCTCCCCTTTTCTCCAAATCAGCTTGTACCACCATGACCAGTTACTGGAACTTTACCAGTTCCTGAGCATGTCTCACTCCCTTGTCCCTTGTACTCAGATTAGTGTCCAATCCCAGTGCCTACTGTTAGTCTCGTGAGAAAACTTCTCAACTCTTTCAGATTTGGGCCAGTGAAATTCCATGATCTCTATTATAATTGTGCATCACTCACTCACTCTGTGTCTTTCACCAATGTCTCTACACACTGCCCTCAGAAATCTTGTGACAAAGCTTTGCTTCCCTCCCCAAACTTCCTGTCCAGTCTATTCAAACTTCCAGTCCTTTCCACTCTCAGTAGATATTCTCCCAACAAATGACTGGGAAAATAAGAGATTTTCGGGTGGGAATTCCCTCAAACACTTCTCTCCACTCTACCCACACCCATCCTTATGTTCCTCCTTCCAATCTTGGAGGGAGTAGTGTTCCTCCTGCTCGTAGCCGTGGCCACTCACACCCTGTTGTCGTTCCATTGCATCCTGTCCACCTCCTCTGGAACCTCTATCCCTCAATTGGTCACTTGTTTATCAGTGCTTGGATTTTCAGTGCTTCACTACTGGCTTTTCAGGATACTAAAGTCTTCCCTAGTCTAAAAAACTTTAACTCCACACAACTATATCTTTTATACTCCCCTCACATCATGAAGTAGTCCAAACAATATTCCCTAAATTTCAGTTCTTAGGACATAATATTTTTTTGCGTTATCCATGCATTCACCTGTATTATTATGTATGTAATATTAAACCTATTGATTTTTTTCCTAAGATATATTTGTTTTTAAGAGAAGCCTGATACTCTGTGAAATCCTGGATTCAGTACACTGATTATCTACTTTAATACACCTTTTAAAATTTTATTTATTTATTTTAGGCTGTGGTGAGTCTTCACTTGCTGTGCCTGGGCTTTCGCTAGTTGCAGTGTGCAGGCTTCGAATTGAGGTGGCTTCTCTTGTCGTGGAACACATTCTCTCGGGTGCACAGGCTTCAGTACTTGCAGCTATGGACTCTTGATTGCAGGCTCAGTAGTTGCAGCGCATAGGCTTAGTTGCTCCATGGCATGTGGAATCTTCCCAAACCAGGGATTGACACCATGTCCCCTGCATTGGCAGGTGGATTCTTAAC